CCCCCCCCCCCCGTTAGCAACTGCATGTCCCTGGGGGAGCCCTGTCCCCTACCCGCTGGCGGAGGCGCTTGATGTGGCGGAGCCGGGCAATCCATTTGGAGGGGTAGATGTCAGTGGGGTTGGAGCGGCTGTGATGCACCTGTGAGGCCATCTGGGGATGGGCAGGGGTGAGCCTGCCGTCCAGTGGCACGGAAGCCCATCCCACCCTTCTGCACGGGGATGCTACCCCAACTCACATTGGCATGCAGGGCCATCTGACGGGCCACGAAGGGAAGGTTGCGGTCAGACACAATCTTGGCCACACTGGTGTCCACAAGGCCCTCCATGTCTGGGAAGACATGGCAGTCACACCAGGCTCAGGGCCCAAAGTGCTACCCGCCCGCTCCTCCTGGACCTCACCTTTCCTGCACTGCAGTGACACCAAGTTGCACTCGTAGTCCAATGGGGTGATGATCACGTGGACAAAGTTGAACTGGCCCTGCCCAGCAAGAGGAGGAGTCACCCTGGCACGGAGTGTGTCCCAAGGGCTGCTTTCTGCCCCTGCCTCACCAGTGCTGGATGTCTGTCTGCACCTAAACATTCATCTTGCTGGCTGGGGGCCGTGAGGTCCCCCTCCCTGGCTAAGCCCACCCACACCTGGACCCCAGCACCTGCATGTGCTGGAGCTGTGGCCCAGACATCTCCACCTGCCGGTAACCCCAGGTCTCTCAAGCCACACATCCAAGTCCCTGTTGGCCCTGGTGTCTGGGCTCCCCTCAGCAGCTCTACCATACCTTCCTCAGGCTCCGGGATCCTCTCCCTCCTCACTCATCTATCTCGAGAATGTCTGACCTGGCCAGACTGTCCAGCAGCCTTGGGGTCTTTGTTCAGTGCATCCCATGGCCTCCTGGGGCACTCAGAAAGTCTCAGTGCCCTCAGAGTGTGGCCTGCCAGCCAACCTGCCCTGCCTGGGCTGTGCCCGGTTCTCTCTGCCACAATGGTGCTCACCACCCCCCACATGACAAGCCCCAGCATCCTCTCTAGAACACGGCAGTGCCGGGGCCTACCAATGGCTTGTGATGGCAGCCAAGTGAGGGGGTCGGCCCTGAGCACTGCCCTGGACAGACACAAAGCAGCACCGACTATGCGCCATGCACCCTGGTAAGCAGCACACACAAGTTGTTACTCCTGACAAAAGCCTCAGCAGCAGCTGCCACTGACTCCATTTTACAGACAAGGAAACAGAAGCTGAGTGGCTGAGACAACCACAATGACCTGCTTTATGGATGCCTCGGGGGCGGGCTGCCACATCAGCCTCACTGCATGGCTCAGAGAGGAAGACCTGCCCACCCGGCAGTGCTCACCACCCCCACTCGGGCCACCGTGCAGGAGCTCAGCCTCGCCCACCTCAGGGCTTCTCACTCACCTTTATAGTGCCGAGCTGGAAGTCCTCCCCAGAGTCGTTGTAGACGATGGACACGAAGTCGTTGCCCAGGTGGCGCTTCTTGTCACAGCGGTGCTTGTCCCCGTCCTTGGTGGGCATCAGGGTGGCAATGTGGAAGACGGCTGTGGGGCGGGACAGGCGGAGCTGGACTCGTGGAGCCCGTGCTGGCTTCTGTGCCTCTCATCAGGGCACCTCTGGGTTTCTCAGGGGCTCTGGGACAGCGGGGATTGTGTCCTCTGGCCCCAGCTGGTGGCAGAGCCTTGGAGGCAGAGCTGCCAGCTCCACTAGGGCCTCGACGTCCACACGGCTGAACCCAGGCCCTCAAGAGGCCTCCTGGGGCCAGCGGGAGTGGATGGGAGGGTGCCTGCCACGGGAACTGCAGCGTACCTTGCATGATGTCATCGTGCCAGCAGTAGGTGAACTGGCCATCCTCGCCACACACATCCAGGCCGCCGAGGTACACCTTGTCTGGCTGACAGTCCTTAAGTTCGATGAGCTTGCCCAGGCCGGTCAGAAACTCCGTGTACCTGTAGGAGCCGTGCTCGTTGGACAGGATGGCGAGCTCGCTGTTGCTCTGTGGGGGGAGAACAAGAGGGCGGCACTGCTCCCAGACCCACCCTGCCCGCACCCTGCAGAAC